ATTTATTTATTAAAGATTTCTGTCTCTTCCCCGCCACTGCCTCTCATTTCCCTCCCCCTCCTCCAATCATTTATTTTTTTAGCCAGGTGTAGTGCGAGACCCCTTTTATCCCAGCACTCAGAAGGCAGAGGCAAATGGATCTCTGCGAGTTTAAAGCCAGCCTGGCCTACAGAGAGAGTTCCAGCAGAGCCAGAGCTACACAGTGAGATCCTGACTCAAAAAGAAAAAAAAAAAAACTGTGTACATACGGGTGTTTACTGCAGCTGTGCATCCTGGTGCCTGTGGCGAGAGGAATAAGGCAGCATATACTCAGGAAGTCGGCTGGGAATAACTCGGGTCCTCTGGGGTTCATCCAGTGCTTACAACAGCTATGACTGCTGAGTGGTCTGTCTAGGCCTTTGAGGGGGGGTACAACAGGTCTACTTGAAATGAACCACCTCAGCTGTCATTAACTTGATACGTCTTTGTGTCCCATGTTTGAAGTCTGTCCTTTGCCATCTCTGCTGGGAAGTCCCAGCTGTCTTTACGGGCACGCCTCGTGTGTGACGTGTGCTGGGAAGCCATTCTTGCTGCTGTTCACCTGGAGTTTTCTCCTCATCATGGTTTGAGGTGCTCAGTGTGTCACGACACAGCTGTTCCCTTTATAACATACGTCTTGGCACACACAGGGAACATGTTGGGTGCACACATTATTTTTTAAGCACGTTTAGAATATTTAGTCAGTAGTTCTTCAAATACCCTTTTCTTCTCCAGAGTCCATTTGCTCTTTCCGCCCATGTTAACACATGCTGGGCCAACTGATCCTGCCCCACGGATCTTTGAACACCTGTTCCGTTTATTTCCAGCCTCCCACACACGTTCTGAGCTTCAAGGCCACTCGTCCTTTCGTCGGATTCTGGCCACTGCCGCGCACATCCATGTGTTTTTGTTTATACAGTATGTGTCTAACATTTTCACCGTTCTCCAGAGTTCTGGTTTTTTTCCACTGTGAACACTTTCATCTGAGTCTCTGAGTGCCTATGTGATGTCTTCTATTCATCTTTGGCTGAGTCTAAGGTCTGCGCCACACAGTCTGGCTTCTATGGTTTTCTCTGGCCTCTTCAGATGAAGCACTGACATTTGCTGTAGCACCCTTCTGACTCCACCCTCTCCATGGACAGCCACCAAAACCGCCCTCCTTTCCCGTGTTTGTTCTTGCTGCTGGCTAGCGGCCTTGACCTCTCTGAGGTCAGCCGAGGATTTTGTAGTCAGATCTATTTTCATGGTTCCATCCTTTCTGGAATCTGCCTTGTGGTCTGTTTGCTCTCTCAGCTCCACGTTCTATGCCATGGCTCCTTGAGCATCCTACCTCAGCGGTCATTCTCCTCCCACTGCGCGGGTCAGGGACCAAGGATGCGCTTCTCAAGTGACTCCCTTCCCGCATTCCTCTGCTCAATACCAATCCAATTTCTGAGTTTTTAGTTACTTTTATTTTCCCTCTGGTGTCGTCAAATAGTATAAAAATATTGTTTTCCAAGGGAGCAATTATTGTCTATAGGAAAGTTTAAGTCAATTAAATCAATTTGTTGTTACTGAACCTGGAGCCAAGTCAGAATGCGCTGGCAGCTGTGACTCAGGACCCATCCGCAACATCATCGCGCAGGTTCCCTACACTCTTATTCGTTTACTGACTTCTGGTGAACCATTCCCCAGGCTAATGTTGCATGTGGCTGTGCTTTTTAAAAACTTCCCTAGGTGTCAGGTCTAGAAAAGCAGATCCCGGCTACTCAGTAAGCTTGAAGGGAGAGGATCTCATCTCCAAGGCCCACCTGAGCTGCAGAGTGAGTTCAAGGCAATCCTGGGAAAGAAACTGAGAGCCTATCTCCTAACATAAAGTATCGGGCAGGCAAGACGGCTCAGTGTGACTTCGCCAGATGATCTGAGCTTGATCCCTGTATCTCTGTGGTGGACAGAGCTGATTCCTGGACATTGTTCTTATTTTTTTTTTCTGTCTATGATTGTCTTTAATACATTTGTCAGTACAATGTAAGTAGAAAATGAGTATATATTTTTATGAAATCTCCAATAAACCTATGTAATAAATCTAATTTAATTCAATATATTTAATAAAGATTATAGGTTTTTATGAAAAAAACAAAATATTATGCAAAAAAATCAGGGTCCATTTGTTACCACAGATGTTCTTGTTGAGTCTTTATTCAGAATGTCAAGAGTGGGCAAGATTTTAGTTCTAAAAGACAGTGGTAACCGCATGAGTATCGTGTTT